TTCTAGCACCAGATTTGAGTTTGTTTGACATGGCGGTTGATGTGGATTTCTGGAACAATCTGGACGCGCTCTGGCCGGAAGCTGACAATTTGTTTCAATTCCAACCGGAGATCTGAGAATCTAGCCTTTTACTCGGAAAAATAATGACTAATTCTACAAGAACAAATCATAAATATGAAAGTTCCAAGGTTGGAACCTCGATCGCGCGGAGTTGCGGAGTCTAATCTCAAGCTTAGTGACCACATAGCTCTGGGGGCAGAATGCGGAGCTCTACTAAACTTTGAATTCATACACTAACTGGCATTTCACTAATTATTCAGTCTTGAAACAGCCACTCATTACGGATTGGCGGAGTAGCGGAGTGCTGAGGGTGGAGTTGCGGAGTTGCGGAGTTACCGGGCGACACTACAATTCCCCAAGTCGACGGATATAAATACCAGATGATCTGCCAGTTCCAGAATTATCATTATTAGGATCAATCCAAAACAACTCAAGTTTAATCTCAACTCAAATCCCAGCCACTTTCAAAATGACTCTTGCTCGCAAAGCCCTCATCGCCATTACCTCGGCCAAAGCTACTCTGAACAAAGAAACAACAGGCCTCTTCATCACCGAAGCCCTACACCCCTACAACGTCCTCGTAGCTGCGGGCTTTGAAGTCGACCTCGCCTCCGAAACAGGCACCTACACCGCCGACCAGCTCTCCCAAACACCAGACTTCCTCAACGGCGACGACCTGACAATCTGGAACGACGTCAACAGCGACTTCCGCAAGAAGCTGGACAATATGCCCAAGGCCGCCGACCTGGACGCATCGCAGTATGGCATTTTCTATGCCTCCGCTGGCCACGCCGCTCTGATCGATTACCCGACTGCAACTTCGCTGCAGAAGGTCGCTGAGCAGGTCTGGGCCAGTGGTGGTGTTGTTGCTTCTGTTTGTCATGGTCCGGCTATCTTTGCCAATATCCTTGATCGTGAAACAGGAAGGCCTGTTATTCAAGGTCGTCGTCTTACTGGGTTTACTACCGAGGCTGAGAATGCTATGGGTATTATAGGTGATTTGAAGAGTTGGAATGTTGAGCTTTGTGAGGAGCTTGCTGCTCGTCTTGGTGCTAAGTGTGAGTTTTAGCTTTCATTTGAGAATCGTTGGGTGTTTACTGACTTTTTCTTTTTCATAGATGAGCGCTCTGTTGGTATTTGGGATGACTTCCATGTCGTTGATGGCCGTCTTGTTACTGGTCAAAACCCCGCTAGTGCGACTTCTACTGCTAAGGCTGCAGTTGAAGTCTTTGAGAAACTTTAGACAAGTAATTTATATTTGTTAGAATCTTATGGAGATGTTGTTTAATGCCATGAATGTTGTTCACACTGCTTAACGAGCTAGCTACCTTCCTTTTTTTTATCCCTGTTCGCATATAAACACTTCTTGTGAGTACATTTTGATTAGAATAACGATATACTCGACCAATTGAATAGGGAACCTATAAATAGTACTGGTTAATAACCTATCTATACGAGTACTCTGGGGTGTAGAGCGGCATTGACACATACTTTAGCGGTTGCGTTAGTCAGTAAGACAAGATACCTAGGTAAGTTAGGTACGGGTCAAATATGAAATAGGTAGTGTGCAATAAAGTGGCACGTGTTAATCACCATATTGGCTCATGGCATTGGCCGAGGACATTTCGTATACCGCTCAAGCCCTAGTTCAACATGCTTTTCGAAGAATGGGATGTTCATACCACGCTCTAGGGGTATGAGCTCGAGAATAATAAGGGGTATGTTATAGTTCTACACCCGATACTTAGGCTAGAGAAAGTTGAACTTGGTATTGTCGGATCCTGACTTAACGACTTTTAACTATCCGAGCATCTCGAATTTTCTTCCGTTTTATAAAGCTCAAAATCATCTACACTGAATTCAGTTCGATAATTTGGAGACCCGCTGTTTCTACCGCGAAGATGGACGTTGAGACTTTAACACAAGTAGTTGCAATCTCGTCGTCCTTTTGGCTCTCAGGCAAAACTCCCTCCAACGGTGGTCGATTAAATATGCGGATTAAATATGGGATGAACCGAACGTGAGAACCCATTGATCATTTTCGCGGAGAATCATCCATGACAACATTTGTCGGTTAAAGGAATCCTTTTTGGAAATGATCCTAAAGGAACATGATCATCTGGCGACTCCAAGAGCTGGGAAGGACTGTGAGTTCCTGAAACGACGTTTCAGCAAACCGCCCATAGTATATTATCAAATATGTTAAGGTGATTTTTCTGGAGTACATACTAAATATATGATATATGATAAAGGAGGAATGAAAAGTTAAATATACTGATCAAACGGGATTGACATTTTGATATAGACAGAATGAAAGTCGGGGTCTTGATCTTGATTATACTGTGTTCTATTTCCCAGAAAAAACAGAATAGAACAGAGAAACATTGAGGGGTTATAAGAGAAACCTCCCTTCCACTCAGTCTCTCTAACCCCTCCTTTGTAGCCGAAGGCTGCCCATGCAGCAGATGATCTCTGGGTATACATGCATATATATGCATAAGCTTAAATACGTATTTCTGGTGTTTAGTGCCGAGAATTCTATATCTTAGTGGCTATATGGAAATATAATTTCGTTTGCTATAGATGCAGTACGTAGAATGGTCGCCTTTCCATCACCTAGGAACCACGTCGACTTTTGAAATATGAAATATGTATGTTGGAAATGAGTTACCTTGGTATTAGATATGAGCCTGAAAGCCAGAAATTATTGCTTTTGTGTGCTCCTGTTGGTTGTATATGGACCCCTGCTTCCTTACGTAACAGCTTCACTTTTCTTGTTCTTCTTAGCCCTGTCCACGCCTCATAAGACAAATATTCTTGCACTTGACCTGGAAAACCTACATTATGTACTCCGCCACCCCCGATTCGCCGTGTGACTCGCAGACTGCTGCGGCACTACTGTAATTCGGGTGGCAATCTAGATATGTTACATCAAACTTGACAGGATATCATCTTCACGTTCTGAGGTATGCTCAACGTTATCAGCGTTTCCCTCTACGCATATTGATGATAGACTGCTGTACTCTCCCAAAGTCATATGACCAATATCTGTACGCTCCCTTTCCGGTTATGTCCCAAGCTTAACAGTCAATTACACTTAACAATAACATCACCGCCAAGCTTAGCTACCTGGTCTGACTTATCAGATAGTCAATACAGAATTAGTTTCCTATATTCTCTTTAGCCGTATTTCAGACATCACAGGACTACCATCACTTTTCTGTGTTATATGTCTACGGCCCGATACCCGGGTATTTACTACTATGTTTTCCAGCTCAGGTGAGCTCCTTCAGAGAGACAATCTCTTGCAAGACCTTCCTTCGAATATATCAAGGTATAAATATGAAGAGGAACGCAATTTTGCATGATTATCGATATAGAGCTCTGTTGTGATCGCCTGATGTGACCCCGTTTGTCAGGACTGCCAGTAGATAGCCTCTCTTCCTCTCTCTTCTTGTTTTCCCGGATCAATCAATCATCTTGACCTCTTCTCCATCTCCATCAAGCTCCGTTGGCTTGAAAAGCCCCTGGTTTCTCAACCCCAGCGACTAACTGCTCCTCGGGAGAAAGCGGACCATCCAGGAACTAAGGGCGATTCCGTGTTGTCTCGTAACATCCAAAGAGGTAATAAACAGCAGACATGTTCACGTCAAAGCAAGCACACGTTCCTCCCTAAAGAATGAATCACCCAATTTCATTTCTGTCCACCAGCCGAGCGACTCGCATAATCAAACAGACAAGATTACAGATGGCAAGCTTCCCAGTGATTGCGTCCTCTTCTACATCACCAGCCTTCAATCCAATCCGATATCCTTGATTCTTCTATGCTGCCTCGCCCCAACCGGTATGCCTTCGATCTTGAAGCAAACTTTCTAATTGTCAAGATGGTCACAATAATCCACTCTGGCCTCGGTCAGTTTATCAGTCTAGCACTAACCCGCGTTATTACCCAGATAGGTCTTGCAGCCTACGTTCGCCTTTACAGCGGGGCTACAATCATGGAAGATGGCAGTGGTAAAGAAGGAGATCAAGGCTAGGGACCTCTCCTAGTCCCTCGGCACTTTCCCGAAAAGCCTATAGCGACCCCAGAGGTAGGTGTTTCCGAGTCTCATATAAAGCTCCAGCGGGACGTGGAGTAGTGGCTGCACCTAGCCAAAGGCAATGCCATTCTGCAATAGTTATTCGTTGGATATTATGCTTATCAAAAATTGGCTCTTTTATTGTTTCACCAACGCTCGTAGAGAAATCGTCACATTGCTGTATATCTTCGGGAATTCTTAGAACCTGAGCGGAAAGAACTGAAGAATTACAGTAGACTTATAATTTACTATATCAATTTTTACTATAGCGTAGTGTTTCACTATCTCTCCTTCTTCAGTCTCTCACTTTTTGCTCACTTTTCTCTCACTCATTATCAATCAATCAATCAATCAAAGTTCAATTAACTTGTTGCAGTCTAATTAGTTGCGTATGACTATGCAGGCGCTTCATCCAACTGAAGCAAGAACTCGAAGCCAAACGCCCAGCGGGATCTCTCCCAGAGAGTATATATATACAGAGGCCAGTCCGTAAAAAGTGTAGAATCAGCCCGTTCCCATAAATCAACTCATAATGATTGTCGTGGGGTGCACCTCTTACCTCCCATCTCTCTCTCTCTCTCTCTCTCCTCTCACTCATTAACAACTCTTACATTTTGACTTCTCTCAATTTTTGATAACACTTACTTTACTAACTCTCACTTGTTAAGGGTACCTTCTCAGCACCTACTTCATACGCTTTTAGGGTTCCCAGTTGCAGAAGCCTTTTTCTTTCTGTAGAATAGGAAGCTATAGACGTAGTTACGACGTAGTTGGTACAAATTAAGCAGGCACGATGTTGCGGAGGGGGTATACCGTATTCCCCCTCCCCGAGCGTAGAATTGTATTCACAACATCGAAGCTATGGCGAATAATATGACAAACATAATCAGTATCATTGTGAATCCGCTCCCCCCCCCCGCCCCTCAACCCACCTTTACCCCCCAGTCCTCGCCTTCTCCCTCTGCGTCCGGGACCTCTCGGTCCATGGGTGAAATTTTGGTGTCCAAGCCGGGCTTTTGGGCCGTGTTGGCCGTGGTCATTTTGTGCATCGCCGGCGGTGCCGGCTATTTTATACGGAGGCGGCTAGCCTCCAAGGAGAAGGGTTCTGAGGGTATCCCGTAAGTGGTGAACCATGAGTCTCATAGAAGCGATATTGGCGGACCTTTGCCTATGTATGCACACAAGCTAATGTATCACAAAATAGCCTCCCCAATATCGGTACGCGCGAGCAGCGCGAGGATACCTGTGGGGATCTCCCCACAGGGGATAATGTGGAAGGCCGTGTGCTTGTTGTGACCCCCCAGACCCCCACGACCCTGGCCACCCCCCATGACCCCCAGACCCCCACCCCGCCCAAAAGGAAGAGGAGGCTGACCTCCTCAAACTTGTCCAGCGGGAGTACCGTGATTCGCAATGGCTTGCACGGGCTGAAAGAGCCCTTCGGAATTGACTCGCCGGCTGCGGTGGCTGGCTTGACCTGCTGAGGCGATGCCAAGGCGACGGCGTTCCTCTGTTGTTTTATCCTTTTCTTCTCTCCGAGACCCTTAGCGAGGTGAGATGAATGAAAACGGAGCTTTTTGACAAACCGGGAGTGTGGTGGAGGAGGAGGAGGTGGAGGAGGAGGAGATGATGGTCGTGTCCTTGGTGGCGTTCCTCTGGGCTTTTTGGCCGTTTTTGCTTCTCACCTCACAGATGAAGGAAGAAAACGAGTCTTCTGTCTCTACTTTTCGTTGTTTTGTTGTTTTGGTTTTTCGTTGTTTTCATTTTTTATTTTTCTTTGGTTGGCCCTCTTCGGAGTTGACCATGCCTGAATACATACTGCGGCTGGGCATTATCATCTTGGGAATGCATTTTGCTGTTTAATGCAAACCACTTCGCAGACTTAGATCTTCTTGCTTGGCGTTAGCGAAGCAACCCATCCATATGATATGTAATCCCAAAAGGAACTCTGCTAGACGATAATAGCGACAATCGGGATGTCTGATTGTTACTGTAGCGGTATATATATTAGGCCTAAGAACGCTCAGGTACCACAATGGACCCTAAAAGTGGATTAATCTAACGCTCAGCAAAGCTACCTGTATGCGCCCATACCGCCCCCCTCCTCGGTGGGCGGCACAGGCAGTTAGTATGGGTTGTTTCGCTCACGTTTAGCAATGATCAACTTTTTCTAATACTGTAACGTCCATGATAGTCAAGAACCATAAAAGAGATACTTCCGCTATATAATCTAAGTACAATCACTAGAAGTAACGTATTGAATGAATTAACTACATCTTGCTATTAAAACTCAAGTACCTAGGTGGTAAAAGTTCGAGCAAATAGGGCTCTAGTGCCTGATTTATACATAGCTTTATACACGGGGTGAGGGAAGCTTTCTCACCTGGACAGCATCGGGAGTTTCATCAAGCAAATCCATTCATATCGACAATCACGACGCTTTAAAGCAGATAAACAGCAATTTTCATTAATATCATCCAATGACGATCATTCCTAGTGAGACCCAATTTTTCCTGACCATTAAAGTCGAGCTAAATATTTCCAAAATTTCTTCCCAAAACTCCGAGGCGGCTTTGCGATAGCACTATCACTCGCTTTCCAAACACTAGCCGCTATATCATAGGATGGAGGGTTTTCGCCAAGTTTGTCATTCATATTATTCACCTTTGAGGACTCAAGTAACCGTCCAGAAGAGCAAAAGTAGTCATTGCAATCCTGAGAGTTTTGAGCTAGCTCTCTTCGCATCTGGCGGTTGGGATTCTGCTTCAAAGAAGCATAAGCTCGGTTGAACTCACTATCGGAGAGTCTTGCCATAGCGATATAGACCTCGGGGTTTTCAATACGTTCTTTTAGGGCCTTTATCGACTTTCCAATTAACTGTATCTCCTCTTTGAGAAACAAAGACAACTTTTCAAGGTAGTCGATTCTTAGCACAATATCTTTGTCATCGTCGTGCATAGGGTGATTCTCTATTAAGTCATCAAGCTCTGTCTCTATCTTCGCCCACTGCTGCCGTACTAAACGGCGAGTACGCTCGTTCTCGATAACAGAGGTGAGCATATCTGGGTTCCGCTCATATAAGTGGTATTGGGGAGAAAGGTGGCAGTCAGGGACTGGCTTCAATTCTTGACTTCCAAGTGGTTCGGACATTCCTTTGAGATAATGAAATGATTCTCGTATAGTGACTTTAGTATAAGGTAGGAAACAGGAATATTGAATATAATTTAGGATCGAGGTTTGAAATAGTAGAAAGATATATCTTCCTCGGCATCATTGATACGTATATCCCTCGCCGCGGCCTAATAAGGAATAGATCTCTACCTAGGTAGCTTCCCTCCCAAACCTTGGGACTATTCCGAGCCCCTTCCATCTTTAGGGCTAAGTTTTTGTTTAAGCTTTTCAGTTTTCATGTAGACGTACAGCTTCGAATTTGGCGAGGGCGTGTAAGTATACCAATTCTTTCAAAATAATTGACTGGGGTTTTGCTCCACAATATCCATATTCAGGCTTGTAATAACAACCATCTTGTAGAAACGTCTAATAAAAACTCAAATTTCAAATAAAGTCAGGTTCTACCAGAGGGCGCTCAGAGGAAACTATCAATCCTCGGGAAAGGAAGATCGAAAGACATTTAGATGTACGACATTGTAGGACATATAGGAGTTCTTCCTCATTTTCGTTTTACATCACCCCCCTAATCTAGCAGCAAGTGCTCATGATTTCAATGGGGATCTAATCACGGTAAATACACGAAAAGAAGAGAGATCTCGTCCCTTCGAAACGGATCACCCATAAGATAGCCAGGTGCTAGTAATTAGGCTTCCACAGAACCCAACCTGGACGTAACCCAAACCCGGGTTAGCCAGGCCAATGGCAAAGATGCCTCACCTGTAAAGTGTAGGAGAAAGAAAGGCGAAAAAGAAATCTGGGTTGTTGGATGGACTTTATAGAACTACACACGGAAACACACACGGATAAAGAGCGCTAAACCTAATGGGTTAAAACTACACCTAAGAGAGTAATTCGCAGTCCCGAGTTGTGCCATTTGAAATAAATTCTCTTCATATTAGCGAAAGAAGCTAACATCCACTCTTCAGGATCGGCGCTCCAGGTCACAATGGCTACTTCTGTATACTTCGGTGGCATAGTAGTCGTTTGCTGCTGTTTGGTATCTTCTGTTTGAGATCAATCTGCCAAACTTTAGCTATGACAAGGGCTTGTCAGGTAGAAACCCATAGTGCTGGAGAAATGAGCCGCGCAGATGTCATCTTAAAAAGCTCATGTTACTTCTTAAGCGCATGAAACCCATCGGCTCGTACGGAGCAGAGTTTGAATAATCCAGAACGATAAATGAAACATTGTAGACTAGGTTTATGATGGTAGCTACTTATGTGGACGGCGATTTTGATTGAGCTAGATAATCTGAACTCTTCGGTCTATATAGGTGTAAGGACCAGCGGTCAAATCGGCAAACATCAGGTTAGAAAAATGCATGATGAACTCCAAAGTAGAGGGTTTGGATGAGAAAGTTGATTATTGAAATCTTAGTCGACAAAGGTGCTGTGTTGACTCGATGGTCCAGTGAATTTGTTGGAGCGAAGACGTATCCTTTATAGCTCCAGTTAGCGTACGGGTTGAATCCCAGCATTTTCTAAAATGAGGAAATAAATTTCCGTTCTGCTGATCTTGCTTGGCTTGGCTATAGACCTTTCCCCTCTAGAACCCCATGTTCTCAATGCATGAATCATATAATGCACACTGCAAAGTACGATGCAATCCAATTAGTGTGATATCTTCATGTATGATGATGCACTAGTGTGGCCCCCTCATCTCTTTCTGTCAGTCAGACACGTCCACTGAAGCACAATATGGGCGGTCAGCATTGCCCTAGATAAATTTCTCTTTAGCGGGATATCCGCCCATCAATCCAGTGGTACTTGTCGTGGGTTGTCTGCATTCCGACGTGGAATGAGTAATTTTGTATTTCTCTAGAAATTGAAATTTCATTTCGTGTGCTGTGTCTTGGTGAATGCTCTCGGTTATGTCAACCATTAGCGCCGCCTGGGCGAGCCCCGGGGGATCGACGCTTTTGCCTATCAGAGCGGAAGTCGGGTCGGGGTATCCATCTAGGCCTGGTTTGAGCCAGATGAGGAACTCGGTTTAAAGCTACCTTATTTTCTATCATAACAGGGAGTTCCCAAAGTGATCACATTTGGGTATAACCTTTTAGATGATTTTTGAGATTAACATCCTGGAGACTATTTGGGGGCAAGATCCAACTATGCCACCCATCTTCCAATGAAACTAGAACTGGTTCAAGAACTGCCTCGATCGTATGATTATCTAAATTTTGTTTACCATGATTTTATGTTCCTTCCTGGGTAAAGGGTGATACAGGCAAAATGTATGCAGGGCGTACCTCCCTGCATGTTTTCAACTGCCCTCTAGATGGTAAACCGCTTCCCAAAAGACGGCTGCATGCAAATAAAACCCCATGGAGACGAGACTCCCATTTGCATCAGACTTGAAGGATTGCAAACCTTGCGAATGCTCCCATTAGCTCTGACAGGATTGGATCCAAAGATATACCATTGGATAATAACTACATCTCTACCACATGACGCTCCCATATTCCTGATAAAAATCCTTCGCCAGGCAGCTCAGTTCCAAGGTTGGTAGTCAATCCTTTCCCCGAATTTACACTTAGAGCTGCATATAATTTGATTGGATACCATTTTGGTTATAGGTTGGTTCTTCCAGAGTAATAGAAATTAATCTGTACAAAATCAGATACATTCCTTTCTATTTGCACAAGGGATATCTCAACAATGTATATAGCAGTATTGCCAGACCTGATTCCTTAGCCCCCACATCCACATGCAGTGAGAAGTACGGAGAACTTGAAAATCAAACATGAAAACAACGCAAACCGAGGCTCTGTGATGATGTCACATATCGCCCAGGTGAAATTAGATGCTTGGGTCGATGCATTGTCTGTATTAGGGTCTATTCTGAAGGAAGGTGAGTCGAAAATGCCCTTTTTGTGAAATAAAAATAAAAGAAAAGGAACACCAAGAGGCATCATGGCGAACTATACAAGAAACATGGGATCATATGATAAGTCTCTTGAGCCTGACAGGACGGAGGAAGAAAGGGGAAGAGAACCTTTATACAGAAGACTGGATCTAAACCCAGAGATCACCAAGAAGATGGGTTTACACTGGCTCCTTGGATCGACCGGAGACTGGGGCAATAGTGGTATTAAGTAGATATTTAGATATTTCGCTACTGATACTGCAAGAATCAGACAAGACTCAGGTGCTGAATCAAAGAGCCATACGTTAGTGATAATCCACCTTCCTTTACCCGACAATAAGATTGAACTTACTCTTCTTCCAAGGTTACTAATTTACCACACCTCGTCAGGCTCCCAAGGCTCACAGATCCAGCCGACAGTGTGGGTTGTAAAGTCGAGTATGCTTAGTTCATAAGGGTAGTGGTTCGAATTTTATTGCCTATGTGCAAACTAGTTCGCTGTTATACTATGCCTTGGATGATGGGTGAAAATTGAATATGCTATAGACAGGGTAACAAGCTCAATGTGAATCACCCGCAACCACCCAACCCTCGCATTGACTCCCCCAGTAGAACGGCAGTTGATTTTCATTGGATCGCAGCCTTGGTTGTAAACCAACTACCATCTTGGCGTCTGCGCACAGCCTCGATTGTCAGCTCTACCTATCTGTAATCTCGTTAATGCACAGCAAACTGCAATACAACCCCACCTACTCCGTACATAGCTTCGCATACGACTGTAGAATAATATTTTAAAATACTGAAATTCAGAGACTCCCAGTTGTTCTGATGGGGAAATCATTTGTTACTTGGCAAAATTGTGAGTTGGCGGACTTGGCAGCTCTAGTTACTCGTATTTAATTGTAAAGTGAACTGAGACTCATCGTTTGTATGGAGCAGAGCCGAATGACCCCTGTCAGTTGCTTGCTTTTCTGGTCACTCATGGCAAATCATATTTGCTTTTCTTTTTCTTGATCCCTGTATCTCTACATTTTGTCACATCGCTGATTGGGACACATTGGACTGCGGTTGAGAGTTACATGGGGCTATTTGGGCTGAAAATCGTGACCGAATCCTTTTCATATGATGCTCATAGGACAATGTCACATAGAATATGGTACCGTGTGCTGCAATATACAAATTTATGATTGTTCTTCGCGCTTGAAAGATGTTCGTTACCAAGCCCCATCGCCCCGGCTGCTTTTTAAAGTACTACCTGTATGCTCCCCACAGGTGGGTGTTCATGCATGCCAGCCTCCTATTTTTAGCTAATGCCGGTCTTTAAACCAAACTTGGATAAGGCACCGGTTCGTGACCGGAGTCTCGTAATTCCCTCGCTGTCCTGTAAATAGATTGATTCCACCGACTAGATTTATTGACTAGATACTAAACCGGCACACGCAGGCTCTTGCCTACCCGCTGTCAAACTGAACTGCATAAACATTCATCCAGTTTGGCATTCTGGGAATACTTGTCTCTTTTTCTTAGTCATGAATGAAGCTCTTACTCTCAACGGATATGATCGTGGCCAAAACAACGATCACGAATCCACTCCCTTGAGACCACTGTCCGTGGAAAGCAGCAAGGAAAAACGCATCGATGTTGTGAAACGGCCGAAAAGAGCAATTCTGTTAGACTCGTGGCTTCTCGAGTCGATAGCAGTGGCATTCAGCGTGGGCTGTTTCATCGCTATTGCTGTCGTTTTATATGTATTCGATGGTAAATTGCGGCCAGAGATTGGTCACGGTATCAATCTTAACACGATCGTCTCGATACTTGCAACGGGGTCCAAATCAGCCCTGGTCTTTGCGGTTGGAGAAGCAATCGGTCAGCTGAAATGGCTATGGTTTCAAGATCCCACGAAAAGTCAAAGTCAACTTGTCAGCATACAGAGATTCGATGCGGCAAGTCGGGGCCCTTTTGGCTCATTTATGATCCTTTACCACCATCGGTCCTGTTCTCTTGTGTCGGTCGGTGCCGCTGTTATTGTTCTCATGTTATCTTTTGATCCATTTGTACAACTGGTTCTGACATATCCGGTTGGCCCAACTAATGATTCAAGTGCGACATCCAGA